TCATCAGCATTATCATCATCGTCGACAGTAATCATGAAGTTTCTGATAATAGTCATAATTATTATTAGTAGTAGTAGAAGTAGAAGTAGCAATAGTGATAATCATAGTAATAGCAACAGTGATAATAATGATGATAGTATAATTATCATCATCATCATCATCCTCAGTCAAACCGTCGTCGTCACCAGTCATCGTTCAGCACAGATGACCATCAGCCAAGTCATCCATCAGTCACTCACCACGGCCGAAGTTCCAAACACTAAAACACAACAAACGCTGAAGTTCAAAACAAAACAAAGACGAGGGGGAGGGGGAGAGGGAGGGGAGAGGTGGGGAGGAGAGTGTGAATGTGAGAGTGGTAGTGGGAGAGAGAGAGAGAAAGAGAAAGAGGAGAAGAAGAAGAAGAAGAAGAAGAAGAAGAAGAAGAAGAAGAAGAAGAAGAAGAAGAAGAAGAAGAAGAAGAAGAAGAAGAAGAGAGAGAGAGAGATGTATGCTTGTAACCCTTCGCACATTATAATAAATGATTCTTGTAAGATAAACAGATTAACAACGTTTGTATTTATAATTTCCCTCCCTGATATTAAACCATCTCGTCTTCCATCAAACCAGTTAATATATATATAAATAAAAAAAAAATAATATCCCGTGATGTCAGAGAGAATAATGCCATTTATCGAGACGAAAATAACATTTCAGACGTTTATCTTCCTTCAATATCTAAACAAATTTTCCCCCCAGATTGAAAGCCTCGAGTGTGAAAGATTTTGATAATAATGATCGTGTTTTTTTTCCCCGGGGGGCATGGTGCAACTTTACCCCCCCCTCCCCCCCTCCTGTTGACTGCAGCAGCTGCCCGGCGCTCGCACTCTTTGTCCCGCTTCCTCCTGGGGGCGTGTGGGCGTGCATGTGTGTGTGTGTGGGCGTACTTGTGTTTGCTTGTGTGTGTGTGTGTGTGTGTGTGTGTGTGTGTGTGTGTGTGTGTGTGTGTGTGTGTGTGTGTGTGTGTGTGTGTGTGTGTGTGTGTGTGTGTGTGTGTGTGTGTGTGTGTGTGTGTGTGTGTGTGCGTGCGTGTGTGCGTGTGTGCGTGCTTGCGTATGTGTGTGTGTATGGACGAGGAAGACCCGGAGTTGGGGGGGTTGGGTGGGGTAGGGGGTCACAGGGTTGGGGGTTGGAGGGGGGGGAGGTTATTCCTAGCGGGAAGGTGACGAGAAAAGTGTCGCGGTCAACGTTTCATTAATCACCGGCCATCCGCACTTGACCGCGTGCCGGCATGCGGGGCGGCGGGAGGCTGCGGCGAGGTCGGCTGCGGGAGGAGGAGGAGGAGGGAGGAAGAGAGAGAGAGATGGGAGGAGGAGGAGGTGGTGGTGGTGGTGGTGGTGGAGGAGGAGGAGGAGGAGGAGGAGGAGGAGGAGGAGGAGAGAGAGAGAAAAAGAGAGAGATATTGAGGGGGGGAGGAGAAGGAGGAGGAAAGAGAAAGAGAGATTGAGGGGGGAGAGGAGAAGGAGGAGGAAAGAGAAATAGAGAGAGAGAGAGAGAGAGAGAGAGAGAGAGAGAGAGAGAGAGAGAGAGAGAGAGAGAGATGGGGGGAGGAGGAGGAGGAGGAAGGAGGAGGAAGGTCGTCGGCGGAGATTGCAGTCGGATTGAATTGTAATTTGAGGGCGGAAAGGATGGTGAAGGTGGTTTAGGCAAATTTGAATGTGATGGTGATGATGGTGGTGGTGAATTGAGAAATTTTGGTAATGGCAATGATGGAATTTAAGGAATTTTGAGAGTGATGATGGTGGTGGTTTGAGAAATGATAACGATGATGGTGATTTGAGAAATGATGGTGCGGTGATGGTGATATTGATGATGGTGACTTGAGGGATGTCTATGGGAATAAGAGAAATGGTGTAAATTTGCGAATGATATTTTAGAAATAATGAACGCGACGGAAGAAATAATGGTGACAATTCAAGATATAACGACGAGGATGCTAATGGTAATTAGCGAAAAGGGTGACGATCGAAGAGAAATGGTGATAATGACGCGTGGTGAAAGCAAGGCGTGGCGAAGAAGGGTTTGTGAATGGATTCGGGCGATAGTTGAAGGCGGCCGTTGATCGTAGCGGGTCCGTCCCATTCATTAAGGAAAGGGGGAGGGCGAAGGGGGAGGGGGAGGGGGAGGGGGAGGGAGGTACATGCCATGTTGAGACGCCCCATTCATCTCCTCTAGCCTGTAAGTCTATCATCAGTCTCTTCCGCAGTATACCCGCAGTCTATTTCAAGTCCCCTCCCTTCCCTCCCTCCTTTCCTCCCTCCCTCCCTCCCTCCCTCCCTCCCTCCCTTCCTTCCTTCCCTCTCCTTCTACTTCTCCTTCCATCCCTCCCCCTCTCCTATTTCTCCCTTCCTCCCTCCCTCCCTCCCTTTCACGTCTCCCTTACCACCCTCTTTTACCTACCCCCTTCTCCCTCCCCAACCCCCCCCCCCCGAGCACCGCACCTTCGTTCAACCCTACACCCCCACCTCCCACCACCCCTCCCCCCCTTCACACGCCCCTCCCAGGTCGTACCGTGAGAGATTCCTTGTTCACCGTTTGTTTACATCTGTCCGCCCGTCTCGAGGCTGGGCTTGTGTGGGACGCCCTCCTCCTCCTCCTCCTCCTCCCCTCCTCCCCCTTTCGTCCTTGGCCAGCGCCCGTCGCCGCCTCCCTCGCCGCCCGAAGGAATTTTTATCTTGTCCCTGAGTGTCCCTCGGCCTCGGCGTTTCTGTCGGTGGCACTTTTGTTTTTCCGTTCTCGTTCTTCGGTCTTTTTCTTGGTTTTGTTCGCCTATTTTTTTTTTTTTTTTTTTAGTCTTCCCCCTCCTCGTCTCTTCTCTTCACTCCTTCCATTTCATCGTCTTTCCTCTCTTCTTCTTTTTTTCCTCCTCTTCCTCTTATTCTTCCTCCTCTTCCTCCTCCTCCTCCTCCTCCTCCCCCCCTCCTCCTCCTCCTCCTCCTCCTCCTCCTCCTCCTCCTCCTCCTCCTCCTCCTCCTCCACCCCCTCCCCCACTTCCATTCCCACTCCCCCCTCTACTTCCCCTTTCATCTGCTCATCATCTCCCTCTCCTCCTCCTCCTCCTGTTGCTCAAGGCAGAATTATGCGAGAGGGAGATAGAAGAGGAAAAGAAAAGGAAGAATGTAAACAGAAAAATAAATAAGAGTAAGCATTGAATATGAGAAAGTGAGGATTAGTACAATTGTTAAAAAAAAATAATAAAATAAAAAAACGATGAAAATGAAGATAAAGTCTTCTTTGACGACGATGTTGTCATACTTATGAATATTCATCTCTTTAGCGTTCGAGATGATTGTTATGGCGGATGAAGAAAAAAAAAGAAAGAAAGAAAAATCCCGTTCCGGCTCATGACTTTCATTGTTGTGTTGCACGGCGCCAGGGAGCATAATCTTGCCATGTTTGGGGGGTATGCATGTTGCCTTCCTGTTGCCGTGTGTCTCCTCGACCACGACTTCGGACGGTGTCTTTTTTTTTTTTTTTTTTTTGGGGGGGGAGGGGGTAGGGGAGATATGGGGTATTTCGGTATGTATGTATGCGTGTGTAGGTATGGGTGTATAGGCCTACGTTCATGGAAGGATGTGTGAATGGATGGTCGGTGTCTCTGTGGGTCAGTAAGGAATACATGTCGCGCGCACACACACTTATAAGACACATAATAACACAAACATACACACAAAGACACACACACACACACACACACACACACACACACACACACACACACACACACACACCTTTCTCTCTCTCTTTCTTTTCTCCCACCCCCCCACTCCCTCCCATCTCCTCCTCCCCTAACCGTCTCCCCTATCTCCCTTCCTCGCCCTTCCCCTCTCCCCTCTTCCCTCCCCCCTTCCCCTCCCCCTTCCCCTCTCCCGTCTCCCCCCCCTTTCCCTTTCACCTGTCTCTCACCTCTTTGATCTGTCGGCGTCCTCACTCACCGAAGGGCCTTCCGGACGTGCATCCTAGACGCTGCTAATCCTCTCACAGGACGCCGCGCCGAGCTGATGTAATCCTCCTCCTCCCCCTCCTCCTCCTCCTCCTCCTCCTCCTCCTCCGCCTCCGCCTCGTCCTCCTCCTCCTCCCCCTTCTCTTCCTCCTCCTCCTCCCCCCTCCTCCACTTCCTCCTCCTCCTCCCCCTCCTCCTCCCCCTCCTCCTCCTCCTTCTCCTCCTCCTCCTCCTCCTCCTCCTCCTCCTCCTCCTCCTCCCCCTCCTCCCCCTCCTCCTCCTCCTCCTCCTCCTCCTCCTCCTCCTCCTCCTCTTCCCCCTTGTCCCGTGTCTCACAGGAGGGGGGGAGGGAAAAGGGGGAGGGGGCGAAGGGGTATAGGAGGAAACGGGAGAGGGAGGAGGAGGGAGCGAATGGAGAATGAAGAGAGAGGAGTAAGAGGAAAGAAAACTGGAGAAAATGAGAGAAAGGAACCTTGATTGCCCCCCCCCCCCTTTCCCTTCCCCTTTCTGTTCCCTCCCCTTCCCCTCTTCCCTTCCCTCTTCCCCTTCCATTCTTTGTCATTCAGGTTTCTCTCGTGTAAACAAATGACCGAAAAAAAGTACTCGCGATGAAAATTAAAGATGATGATGACGATGACGACGATGATGATGAGGGTGACTTCGACGCTTGATCACTATCGATGTCGTTATTATTGTTGTTTCTTTGCATTAATATCACTATTAATGCCATTGTTATTGTTATTACTGTCAGTGTTACAGTTATTGTTAATTTTGTTACATTTAATATTACTACTGCTACTACTACAACTACTATTATTATTACTTTTATCAGTATTAGTGATTATTACTATTACATGACCCCTGACAATTATACCTACGCCTCTCTCTATTACTAAGCTAAGGCATTCCATTCACCCATTCTCTTGCGTTATTATTATTCTTATTATTCTTATTCTTCTTATTATTATTGTCATTATCATTACCCTTGCTAACTGGCCGCCTCCCCCTGCAGACCGACCGACGCGGCGTGCGAGCGGCGAGGCCCCGAAGGAATGGTGGACGCGGGCCCGGCGGCGACGGTTCCCAGCTCCGCTCCTGCTGGCTGCTGATCCGTCCCCCGCCCCTCTCGCCCACGCCCGCGCCCTCGCCCGCCCCGCCCCGCCCCGCCCCAACGACCGCAGACGACCTCCCGGCAGCCGATACGGGCGCCCGCTGACAACAGCGCAAACCCTCGTCCACGGGCGTCGCCCCAGCAGGCGTCTGTGATGACCATGGCAAGCTCTGGCAGCGGTGCCGGGGACGCTGGCGGGGGCAGGAAGGGAGGCTCCCGCGCCCCCCAGCCGCCCGAGGAGGAGCCTCTCCAGCCCCCCGCCGCCGCCACCGCCGCCGCCGCCACCACCGCCGCCGCTACCGCCGCCGCTGCCGCCGCGACGACCGCCTCGCCCGCCGTCTCGTGCGCGGGCAACGTGTCGGGTCTTCCGCGGGCCAACGACAACTACGAGGAAGTCAGCATCATCGGCAACGGTAGGTGGGAGATCAGACGAGTAGATCGGATCTCAGAATATAATAACTTTTCATTATCTAATTTATTATTTTTAATGTAATTGGAGTCGCCTGTATCGACTTTTGATTCATATAGCCTTTTGAGATTTTTTCGCAGCCCTCTTGCAGTATGACAGTAGATAAAAACGCTAGGAATAATCAATATATATCAACTTTGCATACATTACTTTCCACACAAACGAAATATATTTGAACTCGCTGGCGCACCTGCCACACTTTGCAAACATACACGCATACGCACACGCACACGCATACGCATACGCATACGCATACGCACACGCATACGCATACGCACACGCACACGCACACGCACCCATACCCACACCCACACCCATACACAAACCCAAACCCACAAACAAACACACACTCAAACAAACACCCCTAATAGGCCTACATACCCACGATATAACCCTTCCATGTAGGCCCATATCCCCACATACACCCCCCCCCTCCACCCCACCCGCATACACATACGCACACACACACGCACGCACACGCATACGCATACGCATACGCATACGCATACGCATACGCATACGCATACGCATACGCATACGCATACGCATACGCATACGCATACGCATACGCATACGCATACGCATACGCATACGCATACGCATACGCATACGCATACGCATACGCATACGCATACGCATACGCATACGCATACGCATACGCATACGCATACGCATACGCATACGCATACGCATACGCATACGCATACGCATACGCATACGCATACGCATACGCATACGCATACGCATACGCATACGCATACGCATACGCATACGCATACGCATACGCATACGCATACGCATACGCATACGCATACGCATACGCATACGCATACGCATACGCATACGCATACGCATACGCATACGCATACGCATACGCATACGCATACGCATACGCATACGCATACGCATACGCATACGCATACGCATACGCATACGCATACGCATACGCATACGCATACGCATACGCATACGCATACGCATACGCATACGCATACGCATACGCATACGCATACGCATACGCATACGCATACGCATACGCATACGCATACGCATACGCATACGCATACGCATACGCATACGCATACGCATACGCATACGCATACGCATACGCATACGCATACGCATACGCATACGCATACGCATACGCATACGCATACGCATACGCATACGCATACGCATACGCATACGCATACGCATACGCATACGCATACGCATACGCATACGCATACGCATACGCATACGCATACGCATACGCATACGCATACGCATACGCATACGCATACGCATACGCATACGCATACGCATACGCATACGCATACGCATACGCATACGCATACGCATACGCATACGCATACGCATACGCATACGCATACGCATACGCATACGCATACGCATACGCATACGCATACGCATACGCATACGCATACGCATACGCATACGCATACGTCCTAACCCGAGTGCTTGTGTTGCCTTCCGCAGGCGCGTACGGCACCGTGTACTGCGCGCGGGACCGGAACAACCCGGACCGCGTCGTGGCCCTCAAGAAAATCCGAATCACCCTCAACGAAGACGGGGTTCCTGGAAACGCCGTCAGGGAGATCGCGCTCCTGAAGCAGCTCGAGCGGTTCGAGCATCCGAATATTGTCAGGTAAGGGACAGGTCTTTTATTTCGTTATTTTTTTTTTTATTTTTTTTTTTTTGTTTTCGTATGTTTGTGCTTTCTTTTTCGTTTTTTTTTTTCGTGGCTATGTTTGTTTAGGGGTGTGTGTCTTTGTGTGTGTGTATGTGTGTGTGTGTGTGTGTGTATGTGTGTGTGAGTTTTATATTGACAACGAAGAGGGTATTTAGTATTTTGTTGTCGGATAAAAGGGAATTTTTCGAAGGCGATTTTTTTTTTCATTGTTAGGTAAGTGAGCTTTTCGCTTTTGTTGTCGTTGTTATTGCTATTGTGTTTGTCGCATATTTTTGTTTTCTTTTTCTTAATTAGTGGAGATTTTTTCTCAATATTTATCCGTTTTATTTTGTTTATTTTGTTGTTGTTGTTGCTTCCTTGACGTGGTAGAATGTGAGGTTATGGCAGACGTTCAGCCCGTTAGGTTGTGGGTGAAACGACCTGGAGGGAAAGATAGGAAAAAAAAGGTTTAATCAGTTTTCACTTTGTGACGAGAAGGGGAAAAAACCGTACGGTACCTATAGTGGTCCATTTTAAAACAATATGTTTTTTGCGAAGGAGTTCAGAGCGTCAAAACCGATTTTTTTAAAAGGTTATTATAATTTTTTTCTCCTCCTCCTATTCCTCTTTTTTTCCCTACTTTCCCTTTCTTCTTATACTCCTCCTCCTCTTTTCCTCCTCCTCCTTCTCTGCTTCCTCCTCCTCCTCCTCCTCCTTCTCTGCTTCCTCCTCCTCCTCCTCCTCCTCCTCTGAAAAAAGAGAGCCCGGAGCGATAGAGGGACGTCTGGATAAAGGGTCATTTTTCGCCCATTGGGAGCGGGTCGGCGGTGCCCCTTTGTCTCCTGAGGCGTCGACCAGCCAGCCACCACTCGACCTTTCGTGGCAGAGGACGTACCCCCTTCGTCGCCCCCGCCGTCGCCCCCGTCGTCGCCTCCGTTATCGCCTCCATCGTCGCCCCCGTCATCGCCTCCGTCAGATGACCCCCCCGGGCGCGAGGGAGAAGGTCGACAGGCTGAAAGAGATCAGGGAGAGGAATAAGCCACGAAAGGGCGGAATGCCAGGCGCGCGGGGACGACGCCGGATCGAAGGACTTGTTAATGAGGCGCGGAATGTCGTCGTCGTCAGCGCCATCACGCGAGCGCCGACGAGGGACGGGTGGGGAGGGAGTGGCAGGGCGCGAGGAGTGGAGGAAAGGGCCTCCTACTCCTCCTCCTCTCCCCTGCTCCCTTTCTCCCCTTCTTGTTTTCTTCCCTCTTTCCACCCCTTCCCCAGTCCCCATGTCTCCTTCCCCCTCTCCTCCTCCCTTTTTCATCTTCCCTCCCCCCCACCTCCACATACCCAGCCTTTCCCATTCTCCATCTTCCACTCCCCACTCTCTCGCTTTCCCTCCCCCACCCCCTCCCCCACCCCCTCCCCACTCCCCACTCCCCACTCCTTCCCCCCCACTCCCCACTATATCCCCCACCCCCACCCCACTCCCCACCCTCTCGCTCTCTCTCTCACCCCCTCTCTACTCCCCACTCCTTCCCCACTCCCCACCCCCCACTCCCCACTCCCCACCCTCTCGCTCTCTCTCCCAGGGTACGAGGCAGTGGACAGTGACGAACCTCCGATCCGCACGCCCACCATCTGCCATGCGGGCGTTCGTACGGGATGTCGAACCTGCCATTTTTTTTGTTTTTGTTTTGTTGAACCTGCTATTTTTTTGTTTTGTCGAACCACCTGCCATTTTTTTTTTTTTTTTAATTTGCCATTTTTGTATTTTGTTGAAACTGCCATTTTTCGGTTTTATTGAACCTGCCTTTTCTTTCTTTTCTTTTTTTCTTTTTTTTCCATACATTTTTGTTTAGTTTCCGAAGCTGGGGAATAGCCGCGAGGGTGTAGTGCTTGAGGTGAGAGAGAGGGTGTGTGTGTGGGGGGGGGGGGGAGGCGCTGTGGTTTTAAAATCCTCTTTTTTTTCTTCTTCTTTTTCATCTAGAAATGGCAGACTAGACGCGATGTTTGTGTTTTTTTTCACGGGAGAGAAAGAATGTGAATCCCCCCCCCCTGTTCTCGGATCCATAATACCCGGGTGAGAGTATGCCTGGGATTTGCTTTTAGCCGAAATGGAGGATTTAGAGGGTTTTTGTAAAATTCTAAAGGGAGTGATATTTTTTTTTTAAAGAGGCATGCTAATGGAGTGATAATGGCCCCGAGGTTCCATACGGACCATGGACGGAGCACAGTAATGAGGATCGTGTCAGAATGTGGCTGAGGAGGGGGGAGGGGGGGGGAGGAGGAGGAGGAGGAGGAGGAGGAGGAGGAGGAGGGTGGGGGTGGTGGTAGTGGTGGATGAGGGAGGGGTAAGGGAAGGGGAAGGGGTAGGGGAAGAGATTGTGGGAAGATGAGGATGAAAGGGGGTGAGAGAGAAAGGAGGGGGGGAAAGGGGAAGGGGAGGAGAAGGGAAAGGGGAGAGAGAAGAGGAGGGAAGAAAAGGGGGGGAGAAAAGAGGAAGGTGAGGAGGCGTTTTTGCGAGTGGCCGCTTTAACTAGTGTTTATCGGTTTGTCGGCCGGAGGGTTGATAGCGGGTCACGGCGCCCACTCATGGTTGGCGGTGGGCGGGCTGAGCACATGTGGTGGGCGCCGGGCGGACCGCGGAGGGCTGGTGGCCGGGCGTGGGGGCGAGTTTTTCCCGTCGCGCCTCTACATGGCCGGGTCGAGGGCGTGGAAGTGCCAGCGTCCATGTTTATTGTTCAAAAGGGGGGGTGAGAAGGTGGGGGGGAGATGGTTTTTGTTTGTGTGCGGACGGGGCGTTGGGCGAGGGACGGCTGGAGGCCAGGTCGGAGGAAGCATGGTGCGTGACGGGGCTGGTCTTGACGAGCGAAGCGAGCGTAGGGCAGGACTGGACGGAGAGACGGAGAGATGACTGGAGAGGAAATCCGCATCTTGGAAAATGCGCGCGATGATGGTGATAAGCGATATGGATGGAGGGAAAGACAAGGACAGAAAGCCAGCACGGGAAGACATGCAGACAGGCATAAACATATAGACAGACGCAAATATCGACAGCAGCGTAGAAGGACCAGGAGGCATTGATCATCCTCGTGGGCGTGCATCCGCCCGAGGGTGATTCTATCATGCGCTGCCGCACGGAGGTCCTGGCGAGCGAGGCAGGGCGAGGCCTTCTGCCCGCAGGGGGAGCGAGGCTGCGGGAGGAGGGGGGGAGGGGCAGAGGGAGACTGGTTTGATGCCCCTGGGAATGGGGGTTCATCTCTCGACTCGGGGGACCTCCAGATACCTTGGCGATGTTCTGTGATAGCCCCAAGATGCCCCGGTGGCTCCCCTGACGCCACGTGTGCGGCCGTGTTTCCCACAGCAGCGAACTTGCTGTGTGTGGCGCTGATTAAAAGAGATTTACGACCCGATGCATGAAATATTATCATGCTGTCCACACGGCGATGCCGCCATGCAGTACTTGATGCAAGCCCATGACACCACACTATGTAGAAACGATGATTCATGCACTATACCCACATTGACACCGATTCCCTTTCACAATAACCGTAAAATCCACATTTCTTAAGCCATGAATCCTCATCAGCCTCAACATCACCAGCACCGACCTTTGTATGTGGGGGTTCGGGTACGAGTTTACGTCCGTCCGGCCATGTAGGGTCGTGACGCATAGCCATGTTGACAAGGCCGTTGAAGGAAGGAAGGAAGGTGGTAGGAATGCGTCGGGCCTGGCGAGGATGCCCGACCTCTGGAGGATGTTCTCTCCTGCGACGAGAAGAATCCTTCGCCCTCGTCGGGTTCTCGTGACGCCGGCTGTGTCTCCTGTTTGTTTATGAATATGCTGGTTTATTTGATTTCATTACGTTATTTGTATGTCATTTCTTTTATTAATTAATTAATTTATTTGGTTATTTTCGTCACTAGATTTCTTTTTGTTTGATTTGTTTGTTATCAGTAAAGTTGCATGGATAGGATGGCTAGGATAAGTCTCGATAGAGCCGAGAGAAAAGGAGATAGAATGAGGTAGGATAGGATAGGATTGGATGAGAAAGGATAGGCTAGGATGGGATGGGATAGGATTGGGTGAGGAAGGATAGATATAGGATAGAATAGAAGGTAGGGTAGAAAAGAAGGTAGGATAGGATAGTAGAACATAGGTTAGGATAGAAGAAGATGGAGCAGGATAGGACAGGATAAGATAGGATAAGAAGAGAATAAGATGGGAGAAGAGAGGACAGACGATAGGAGAGGAGAGGACAGACGATAGGAGAGGAGAGGATAGAAGATAGAATAGGAGAGGGCAGACGATAGAATAGGAGAGGGCAGACGATAGAATAGGAGAGGACAGACGGTAGGAGAGGAGAGGATAGAAGATAGGATAGGATGGGCCGGAGTGAGGCGGAGTGCATCCTTCGCGTGTCTCCTATCATCCTCATCGCTACCGCTGCCACCACGAGCCTTGACAACCCATTCATCAGGCGCTTCGTTCTGGCCTTCCTCTGCCACCCCCTGCCACCCCCTGCCACCCCCTGCCTCCCTCTGCCACACGCCCGCGCCGCCTCATGCCATCCTCTGCCATTATCTAGCATCATCTGCCATCCTCTGCCATTCCCTGCCATTCTTTACCACCCTCTGCCATCCTCTGCCATTATCTAGCATCCCCTGCCACCCTCTGTCATTCCCTGTCACCCTCTGTCATCCCCTGCCACCCTCTGCCATTCCCTGCCACCTTCTGCCACACGCCCTCACCGCCTCCTGCCGACTTATCTGCCGTGGGACTTCGGCGCACGTGCGTGTATGGTGACCGGCTATGGTGACTAATTGCTGTCGTCTTTATCCACTTGTTCACTATATTAGCTCTCCCCCCCCCCCATATTCATCCTTTTCCTCGCTTGTTCGCCATACTGACTCTTGATCAGACTACCTGTGTCGTTCACTCTTCTGTATGCTCATCACCATATTGGTTCTTAGACACTTGTTCA